CGGCTTGCTCGCTCATCATGTTCGCTCATGTGTTCATACGTATTGCCTTGTATATAACAAGCTTGTAACCACCGCCCTCCAGTCGTCCTTGAGCACCACTGCCCATACAAGACGCTCCCGAGAGGCAAGTTGTACGTATATACAGGTTCTTTTGTTTATATCCAGCGAGTTTGATCCGAGACGCGGACATTTGGCAGTAAGGCGCCGACCCAGACACCGAACTGGAAGACTCTGCAAAAGCTAATCCTATCATACTTCCACAATATCATGCACCTGCTCACGCAGCTCACCGACAACGAGATGCTGCGCCTGGCTATCCCGGAGAGCGCGAAGCTCGTGCCCTACGTGACTGGCAGCTGGAAGGCTGTCAAGGTCTTCTTGAGGGTGCGTATCCTGGCAGTTTGAATAGAGTTTTGCGATACTGGAGTGTCGTCTTGTGTGGTGCAGACATGCTTGGACCTGTGGTCAACCGCGGAAGACGGCGTACGGATTGCCGCATTCGTCGCGGTACGTAGGCTTGCATTAGCCACGGATGCGTCTATCATGGATTTGGTGCTCAAGAATGCCACAGCATGCTATCCCTTTCTGCCGCATTGGCAGATAGTTCCTGGCCTCTAACTTAAAATGCGTACAGAATACCTACCTGACGCTCGTGCGCTCGTGCAAGTCGACATCACCGCATACCCTGCCGTCTATCAACCTCATGAAGAATTCGGCATCCGAGATCTACTGTCTGGACCACGCAACCGCATACCAGCACGCGTTTGGATACATCCGTCAACTCGCGATTTACCTCCGAAACATCATGAAGGTGAAGAGCAAGGTGAGATCCCCCTTTACCTCCATGTATTAACTGGCGCTCCGACTAATAATATGGCCTAACCTTACGTAATGCGACATGCAGGAGGCATACAAGCAAGTGTACAATTGGCAATAGGTGCATTGCGTGGATTCCTGGGCGTTGGCGCTTGCCAGGGCGTGCGATAAGGAGAGGTTAATGGAGAGAAACGGCGCGGAGAGCGAGTTGAAACCTGTCATCTACCCTCTGGTGCAAGTGTCGCTCGGTTCCATGAAGTAGGCTATTCATCCATCCATTATCGCGCAAGTGTCACTCATCGCACGCGATCGCCCCTAGATTGATCCGTAATCCACGCTCCTACCCCTTCCACCTCCACATCGTCCGCTCGTTGCTTCACCTGACGCTGTACGAAAAGAAAAAGCCTAATATCTTACAGGTCACAGAACATTACGAGAGGAGGTCTATCTGAATATGTTCCATCGAGATTAATCACTCGTCGCCATACTCTTTGTCTTGTTTTTGCTTTGCCTGATGCATGGTCTTTTGGCGTCGACTGATCTGCCATCGACCGGTCTGGCGGTCCGTCTGATCTTGCTTCGCCGTGCTTGTCTTCTGTATGTGCTCTCGACCTGCGATTCGTGCCTTGCAACCCGCCCCCTTGCAACCTTTGCTTTCTGGCTCGTTTGTTGCATGATGTGCTTGGTTGCGTGGATAGCGCTTATGGTCAATGTCTTACTCTAAGTCGCATGTCATCCTGATTGCGTCCGCGATTGATACGCCGGACTCGTTGGAAAATGTCATTGTAAAGGTGTGTGTCTTATTATACTACTGTAGTGCGACGACAGCGCTGAGCAGGTTGCACCTGTGAGCAGTGGATAGAGGAAGTACGTTCGATCTACGGACCTACGATCTCGGTTATTCTCGTCGGCTGCAAGTCAGATCTGGGGCCACCAGAAGGTATACCTCTCAAACTAACTCTAATTCCGCAAAACGACTCGCGTAATTGACTGTGATGGTCCAGGCTCACCGTCCTCGCAACAATTTATGACGCGCGCCGAGGCGGAGCGCGTGGCGCAGCTGATCGGGGCGCGCGCGCACAAGGAGTGCAGCGCGCTGAAGATTGAGGGCGTGGATGATGTGTTTGAGGTGGCGACGAGGGCGAGCATGCTCATGCGTGAGGGCGTGCCGGCGCATGTGCCGAGTGCAGGGCATGAGCGGCGCGGGAGCCGCGGTGCGAATCGGGATTGGGAGGGGAAT